CTTTTTCCCTTGTTCATATTACTTACATTGAATAGCTGATCACTAAAAAAAGTTAGTGGTGAAGACTGAAACAAAATAGACATTACACCCCTTATTTTTCTTGTCATCAGTTATTACCTCTCCTTCTTTAAGTAGAGGACATATGCTTTCCTTCATATTTCTCTTGCTTCTAATTCATTTACAGAATTTCCTCTTATTGCCTTTTTGGTCATGGGTGTAACTAATTTTGTGCTTTAGCTTTTCTGATTTTGTTTCTACATGCTTGTGCTATTTGTACTCAACAGTTTATCCATATTGCTACTTTTTATAGGATTCTTTTCTGAATTTCTAGTCATTACAGAGCTCCTGATTCAGCCATATTGGCCTCTTAATATTCTTGTTTTCTTTCCATATTGGGATAGTTTTCAGCTATCCCTTTAATATGATCTTGAGACACCTTTCAGCTCACTTCAACTTTTTCTCTTGGCACCTTACCTAGCAGTTCAGAGTAAATCTGATTTTTTTTTAAATCAGTTATCCTTAATCTGTTGCTCTCTTTACTTCCTCTCCTTAGATTCATGAAATGTATAATTTCATGATCACTTGAACCCAAATTATTTTCCATCTTCAGGGTTTGCTACCAGTTCCTTTCTGTTTGTCAGAATTAAACCTAACATGGCTGCTTTCCCTGGTTACTTCCTCCACTTTCTGGAACAGTGGATTTCTGGGTAGCTAGAATCCCCCACTACTACCAACTCTTGTATTTCTAGAATAAATATCCAAAACACCTCATTTACCCTCTCTTCCTGATTTGGTAGTCCGTATTAGACCCCATCATGATGATTTTATTTTCACCCCTTTTATCTTTACCCAGAGAACCTTGCAAGGGATCTTCCTCTCGCCTGTTTCTGAATAAGGCTATGTCCACACTACATGGCTTTTGTGCATGAAGCCTTTTGCGCAAAAACTTCTTGCACAAGAGCACATCCACACCTCAAAGCTTTTGCGCAAGGACGCTCTGATGGCCATTCACAGAATGGCCGTCAGAGCACCTGTGCTTTTTCTGATAGGGGTTTCTTGCGCAAGAAACCCCTTTGGAGCATCCACACTTGCCTTTTTGTGCAATAGCTGTAGTGCAAAAAGGAGTTATGCCTCATAAATGGAGGTTTACCTACGATAGAAAAAGCCCTCCCTTCTGCTGTCTTTACTGTTGATTTACTTGCGCAAAGGCGCATGTGATATGTGGATGCTCCATGGGGTTTTGAGCAAAAACCTGGTAGTGTTTTAAAAAAAAAAAAAAAATAGCCTCAGTGTATATATTCCAGATATGTAAAAATGCGATTAAAAATGTAACTGCTGAAAATATAGCAGTTACCATGCTGTGGGCACTGCAGTGCAAAGCTTATTTATAAGCTTTATACTGCAGAGCCTGCAGCAAAGCTTCCCCAGGAGCAGTACTGGCAAAGGCTGCTACCAGCCCTGCTCCCAGGAAGGAGGCTTTGCTGTGGCCTCTGCGGTCCACTTCCGGGGAGCCAGTGTATAATTTGCGGGGAAAGGGGAGGGCAGCTAGGCCGCAACACACAGTAGTTGCTCCAGTGGGCTCCATGAAGCTGGAGCAGTCCTCTGCCTAGGGCTGACAGGGAGCTGCTCCAGCCCCTGCCAGTTAACCAGAACTGGTAAGTCTCACTCATTACGGGATTTTATGTCCCTAATATATCTTGATGTGTAATGCAACACCATGCTTCTTTTTACCTTGCCCCTCCTTCCTGAACAAACCGTACCCCTGTATACTAGTTACGAGGCTTATCATTCCAAGTCTTTGTGATACTGGTTGTCATCATTCAGCTTATGTATGGATACTTCTAGTTCTTCCTGGTTCTTTCCCCCCATAGTCATTGCATTTTTATGTAGATGTCTAAGATGTTGAACAGATTCCCGTGACCCTATAATAATTTCCCATGCCCTCACCAAGAATATCTTGTCCTCTTTTTAAGGTCAGTTTTTTATATCTATTTCTGGGCATTTGTTGCTATCTGACTTTAACCTTATTTTAAAGTGTTCCTCACTGGATTGGTGATGGTTTTGGCCAGTGATCTTTCTTTAAAATATTTTTGCTTCCAAATTGGTATCTTACTTTAAAGGGCTGGGGATTCATCTAAACTACAGGACAAAGTCAAATTAAGATACGTAATTTCAGCCATGTTAATTGCGTAGCTGAAGTCAAAGTAGATTAACTTGGTTTTTGTCACTGTCTACACTGCAGGAAATCAAAAGGGAGAACTCACTTTCTTGGACTTCCCTTACTCTTCATGAAAGCAGGGTTACTGGCATCGACCCGAGTGCCCCTCTCACTTTGAATTAGCTCTCTTAACTAGACCCACTAATTCAAACCCTGGAAGATGGACAGCAACAGCTTTGATCTTCCTCTGTAGTGTAGATGTACCCTCATGAGAGTGGTACTGATCTATGGGTGTGTAGTAGGGATCTATGAATGGTAGGACCTGGCATATAAATAGCAAGAGGGGTGAAGAGAGTCTGAGGAAGGGACCACAGGCATGAAGGGGTAGAGCAGGCAAGCCAGACAGCCTGGTTAGCAACCTGAGAGCAGGTGCAGTAAAGCCCATGGCAATCAAATCACAACTGGTGGTTCAAGTAGGTTTGGTGGAATGTGATGCTCTGGATTTGGTGAATGTTAGTGTCTTCAGACATCTGCCTCAGGAAGTTGGTGTTTGTGGAGAAAACAAGTGGGGGGTCTTTTGAAGATGCCTTGGATTTCAATGTCCAATGCAGCTGCCCCATATGTACGGAAGCTGGGCAGGTTCTGCATTCAGGTTGTCTGGTGAGACTCACTCCTGCAAGATCTTAGCAGTAAGATCTTAAAGTTAATCAGTTAATGATGCATATAATATAAAAACAAGGTGATAAAAGCCATAGAAGTTCACAATAAGCCATGATAAAAAGGCTGATACAAATATGACATTTGGAGGAGTTGTAAACTCATGCTGGAAGATCAGTGGCCATTTTTGTGTGTGTTTTTTAACTCAAGACATAAAAGTAGGCATGTATTTATTTATTTTTTAAAGCAGACTAAATCAAACTTGCCCATCTTCCTAAGAGAGCTGTCAGTGTCATACTGTTTGTATTCGTGTTTTCCTCTAAAGAAAATAAATATTGCATTTTTGTTTCACCTTTTTAAAATATCACTCTAGGTACTGGAATACCTGAATGACCTAAAGCAGTACTGGAAGAGAGGATATGGATATGATATCAACAGCCGTTCCAGCTGCATTTTATTTCAAGATATCTTCAAACACTTTGACAGAGCCATTGCAGAGAGTAAAAGGTAAAAAGTTTTTTTTTCTAAACTTGCTTTTAGCTTCAGTCTTCTGCATTTTGGTCTACTTGTATACAGCCCCTAATAGGGTAGATATGAAAGAGTTTGGATACGTGGAATTTGGATAATGGTTCAAGAATTAAAACGATGTTTAGGCTTGGTTAGGATCCTTTAAGGGATTGAGTCTCACTTACGTATTAAAACTATAATAATTCTTCATGCTGCATCCTGGTTAGCCACATGAATGAAGTTGTATTGAAAAATATACACTTTTCTCCGTGTTTTTGATTTGTGAATGAAGTTGTATTGAAAAATATACACCTTTCTCTGTGTTTTTGATTTCTCTCCTACTCGCACATAGTTTAATGGCTTTAACTCAGACTTTTAAAATGTGTTTTGTTTTTTTAGTTGAGGGAAAGCTTTGCAAGTTGTGGCCCATGGGAAACTTTTCAGGAAGTTGTGGTGTTTAGCACATGATTTTTTGTGTCACAATGATTTCACTGAAAATGATAAAAGTACTTCTTCACGTTATTTTTATTACTGCAGCACCTAAGAGCTGTAATTATGGACTAAGCCCTGTTTTGCTAGATGCTGTACAAATACAGAGCAAAATGACTGCCCTTGCCCCAAGGATCTTAGTCTTAAACCATGCCTGTTTGTCAGATTAATAAAAGCCTTTGTTCTATTTAAAAAAAAAAAAAAAGTTACTGGATCATTTGACTTAAATGATTAGCCAGCAGCCACGTCTGAAAGAAATTAATCATTTTGATTTAAATAGTGTTGATGTTCTGTTCCAGCTCATTAAGAACACCATAATTTTAAGAGATGTCAGGTTAAAACCATTAACTTTTTTAAAAACAAATGTCCTTGTTTAAACTGAAAATGTAGAATTTAACTTGCTTCTTACCAGTAATCAGACCCACTGATTTGGGGGGGGAGGGCAAAGAGGCAACTGCCCCAGGGCTTGGAGATTCTAAACGGCCCGGGCTCCCAGCCACTGCTGCTTCTGTAGCCATAGCAGTGCCTGGAGCCCCTGGACTTTTAAATTGTGGCTGGAGTGCTGGGTGACATGCTCTTGGTGGCTCTAAGAGCTGGGGGGTGAGTAGACATGGCATGCACTGAGCGGTGCTGACTGCCCTGGACACATCCTTCCGCCTGAGCCCCCATCTCTTCCCAGAATGTAAAGTGGCTCCCCACACAGAACTTGCCCAGGTAGCCCAACTGTTTACTCCCTTGCCAGATTGAAGGTAGTAGGGTGGTTAGGTATGTATGTGTGTGTTTACTCTGATTCTCCTGGTACTGGAGAGAGATGACTTTTTTTTTTTTAATCTTTCTAGATCAGTGGCTTTCAACCTATGGTCAGTGGACCCCTGGGGATCTGCAGACAATGTTTAAGATTTCCAAGGGGCCCACATCTCTGTTAGAAATGTTTTTAAGTGAAAAAGGTTGAAATAGAAAAAGGTTGAAAACCACTATTCTAGACCTGTTTAGTTCCTTCCAGCATGGGAAGTCAGAGTACTGGAGTTGCTGCGATTTAATCTCACTGATTTCTATAAAGGATGTATCATGTAAGATTTTTAGCTTTGTTGCTAGCAGTTAGAATACAGACAAGTCAGTTGTTCATATGGTCAATATAGGAAAATGCTTCTGTACCAGGGACCTTCAGGAAGACTATTTTCAGATCTGTACTCTTCTACCGCTTATTTCTGTTGCTTCACCGACCTGGGATAAAAATATCAGGCCTTGCAACTTGATTTACCCTCAGATCCCAAACCTTTATTCAGGTTATGCTTCTCAGGAAATGCAGTTTCATAAGGCTTCAAAAGTCTATCTTGACTGGCCAAGTACATAAAGTACCTATTATTGTGAGTGTGCCATCTTGTGAAGTAACATCACTAATAAAGAGAAAACCCCAATGTAATATCAATCCAGAATTTGGCTGATCTGAGTACACGCCCTGAACCTGGCTCTGCAGCTTGTCCAACTTTGGGATCCCAGAGTCCGCAGTAATACCGCATGGGATCCCAAGTCACAAACCTGGAGGTTGATTTTTCTATACACATTAGGCCTCTTCAACACATGATCAATGGGAAAATTAAGTCAAAGAACTGAGTTCCTGAGAGTACCATCACCACAAATTGGAATCTCCTTCAAGAAATTGCTCATCCCAAAAGTTGGATGACCTTGACCGCCAGTAACCATGGATACTAGCCTGTTCAACAGTGATGGGCAACTGAGGCCTCATCCCAAAAGTTGGATGACCTTGACCGCCAGTAACCATGGATGCTAGCCTGTTCAACAGTGATGGGCAACCGAGGCTAATGAGTGGGCTGCATGAGTGGCCCTCCATCTCATTGGGCCACAAGATAGTTATAACCAAGACTGTTTCCTGGGATGAAGTAGTTTTGCTAACTGCACTTGCACACCTAGAATTTGCAGGGTGTTCCCATTGAACTTAGCAGCACTTTGGTTGGAGGCGGAGGGAATGCATATCACTTAGTATTGAAGTGCGTGCTGATATAGAGGCAGTGAGGTGGGGGAGGAAGCAGGAAATGTGAGTTGGTTAATTTTCTTAACTATAAGCCTGGACTTAGTGGTTAATCATGCTCAACTACAGGCAGTCCCCGGGTTACATGGATCTGACTTACATCGGATCCCTACTTACAAACGGCGTGAGGCAACCCCGCACTAGCTGCTTCCCCCCAGAAGACCAGGGAGATGCGGAGCGGCTTTTCTCAGCAGACACCTCAGCTTGAGAATAAAGGACTGAGGGAAGTGAGGTGTGGGAGAATAAAACTGAGCTCTGGAGAAATGTTTGGCTAGAGTTTCCCCTACAATATGTACCAGTTCCGACTTACATATAAATTCAACTTAAGAACAAACCTACAGTCCCTATCTTGTACGTAACCCGGGGACAGCCTGTACTCATTTACATCCCTGCTGGCAACCCTGCACATGGGAAATGGTAAACAAATGCCTAATGGACTACGCTTACAACCCTGATGGGCTGTATGTGGCCCATGGGCCACAGGTTGCCCACCACAGCTATCCAAGTAGGGAGCTCTTGTGGGAAAGGCTATGGGCAGTGGTCATTCATGTCCAACAGCCATCTGGAAGAGAGTGTATTACAGTTAACTCTTGTAGTTTGAGGTTTTAGAGTGAAGCATTTAGTTGAGTAGAACAAGACCACAGTTGTATGCATTCCGCAGCCCAGGGGGTTATGAACGAAGATGTCTATTTCAGTGACTAGCTGCAACATGTAGCACCAGATATTCAAAAAAGTATTTTGTGCTCAAGAGGGAGGAAAGAGGCTTCCAAGGATGAAATGCATCTGGTTCACTCGTTCTAATTGGATCTTTGTGAATAACTTTTTTATATAGTAGTGGAAACAGAAATTTCAAATTCCTTCAACGGCTTTTCAGACAGTGCTTTTATGTCATATGCAAGGAGCAGAGGCTCTCTTGTTAAAGATCTGCAGGGCAATGGCTTGGGGTTGAATGCAGAATGCTATGGGGGTGGGGAATGCTGTAGTTGAGATGGTATTTGGCCGAAGGCTGCATCTGCGGCCTATAAGATGCTAAACATAGCCTAAAGCATTATAATTGAGTTGAGGGTCTGGACTCGTATACAATGAGGGGTGTGTGTGTGTGTATGTGTGTAATGTAACCTATGTAGAACCTCTGCTGGGTCTTTCTGGCTTGTCTGGTGGTGATCGCAAGTTTCTGTTGTTTTTGTTTAAAGCTGTGCTACAGTGCTTTCATTCTTGCCATGTTGTTTGTCATGTTAGATAATTACCCAAATACTACATACTTTGTTGGAATGAAAGATTTAAATTTTTGATGAAATTTGGTTTGAATTGACCACACGCCTTTAGCTATGTCTATTTTCCTTCTAGGAAAGTTACATAAAATCAGATTTTTAAGCTAATAAAGACTTCTGATATTTTTATATCATTGCAAGTATTTGATAAATTTGGGATTTTTGTCTAGTTTGCTTGGTAAGTATTCAATACTACAGGTTGAGCCTCCCTGGTCCAGTACCCTTTGGACCTAACTGGTCCCATATAAGAGATCTTTGCCAGACCAGGACAGGCCATTTCTGGCCCCCCACCCCTGCTGCTGGCCTCTCCTCCTACCTTGCCATCCCACTCGGCTTTCTGGCTCCCATAGAAGGCCAGCTGGGTCATGAACCAGGCTTCCTACCTCCTGCTCCCCCCACAAATCCCCTAGCTGGGTCATGTATGCTGGTGGCTTGTACAGAACTTCTCCCTGTAGTAATGTGCTACTGGTAGCAGTTACTGATTTGTACTCTTCCCCCTGCCACCACAGCTCAGTTGATCTATGTGCTGGGCTCCCTGGTTCCCTTGGGCAGCCCAGCTGGGTTGTGTGTGCTGGACTTCCCAGCCCCCCGATTCAGCCTGCCTGAGTTGTGTGCCAGGCTTCCCAACTCAGCGCTCCTGCCCCACCGCCTCCCACAGCCCAGATGAGCTGCACGCTGACCCCCCGCCCCCCCAGTGCTCCAGGACTCTCTGATCCTGCAATAGATGTGGTCCAGCTCAGTTTATAGAGGTGCAACCTGTAGTTTTTTTTTTTTTTTTTAACACAAAACACTACAAAAATCAGAAAAAACAATAGTATGGTATATAGAGGTGACAGAAGAGAGAGGAGAAATAGTCAAGCTATGTATTTAAGTGTCCTAAAATTTAGTCATTCAATCTGAGACTTACACACATTCTTCACTTGTTAATATGCGTTATTCAAATTTAAAATATGAATAATAATGTTCTAATTTATCACTTTTATATTTTACTCACTTTGGACAGTGAAATTGGACTGTCTGGTTTCATGCACTAGGAAAAACAATTGCATTTGGATTTCACACTCAGTAGGGAACACTTAACACTGAGAATTTTAACTATTTAACACACTGGCTTTTATCTGTATTCTTGTCTATAGATACCTAATACTAGATGAATAGTATACAGCAAATAAGTCAGATTGCATATGTCT